GCCCTCCTCTAGGGGATCTTCTCAACCCAGGGCTAGAACCCAAGTCTCACACATTGCAGGCAGATTCTTTACTGTCTAAGCCACCATTTACAAATATTATTGATTGCATTCTAAATAACAGTTCATGAGTTACCTTTCTATACTTTGAGCAAATCTAGCTACATATTGCATCTATCTATCTCATATCAATTTAGCTTTTCCTGTTTATCTCTATTCACTGAAATTATGCTGATTATTTATTATTTCCTATTCCAAAGTATACAGTTACATAGATTAGTGATATTTATGCCAATCATTATGATGTTCTTCTATACTTAATAAAGTAACTTTCCTTTTCTCGGAGTGTGGATGCGTGTGTGCCTGTGTAATTTTTAATTTCAGTCTACATTTAAATGAAGAATGCTTTTCATCATGCACAAAATCACAAGGTCACATTTAAAATTAATATTGGGTTTGCCAAAGAGTCCATTCAGGTTTTTCCATAAGATATTACAGAAAACCTTCAACAAACTTTTTGGCCTGCTCAATAATTAAGTTAATAATGATCTCACATTATTTATACCTAATTATTCATTCATAACATAATGAAAATTTCTTCTGTTGCCTTAAAATTAATTTACACCAGCTCATCTAAACTAGTATCCAAGTTAGGACTGTATATTGCAATCCCTTGTTATGTCCCTTGAATTTTCCATATTCTTTAGTGAGAGTGATATCTACATTACAAAATCAATTGTTCTGTAGCATGTACCACCTTTGGATTTGTCTGATTGCATCTTTGTGGAGTCATGTAGCTTGCTCCTCCATTCTTTGTACAATGATCCTTCATTCTGGCAATCAGCTTAGTGGGCACATTTGCAATCTGGTTCTGGCATGCATCCAACATTAAGCCACCACTCACTGAAAGTCTCCTTTCACACTGGCACAAGACATCCTATGCTTGGTTTCTGTCTCAGATTTCTCCATGGAAACCTGATGCTTTGAGTTGCAATTGTAAATAATTACAATTATTGTAATTGTAATTACAGAATCTTCTGTAATTACAGAAGATAATTATTGTCACTTGGTACATTATTTCTGGCATATATTGTTCCATCCATTTACTTTCAAACTTTCTGTTCAGCTCATTTAGAATAGTAAATATCAATATGAAACAACAAGAAAAAAGAATAGCATTAATATAGTACTAAAATAAATATGAATGTATTAAATTATCAATTAAAAGACAAAGATTCTCAGAGGAAAAACATTTTACAACCTTGAGAACCAAATAAGTATTTCCTACAATAGGCATATTATTCAAGAGAATATCATCCTGATCAACTATGTTTGTCTTCATTCCCTCCATAAAATGGAAATTTTTCATTTTTTTGTCACTGTAGAAAACCCAGGAGCTAAACTAGGTTTTCAGCATTTAATATACTGATCTCATTTTATTTTTATCACATTATGGAATGGCAACAACTATTATGATTTACTCCATCTTACTGATGAAAATTTTGAGACCCAGAAATGTTAAGAATGTAGTTATGCAGTACAGAAGTTTTCAGTTAGCATTTAACCTATGTTAGAGCCCCTGTTTTAACCACTGGGTCTTCATCTTGTTTCTGATCTCCCCAGGTACAGCATCCTTGTCTGGTCAGAACTACAGCACAGTGTCTGAATTTATCCTCATCGGCTTCTCCAACTTTCCTCAGCAGCTCCTGCCCTCCTTCTTCCTGCTGTACCTGCTGATGTACCTGTTCACGCTGCTGGGGAACGTGCTCATCATGGGCACCATCTGGAGGGAGCACAGCCTCCACACCCCCATGTACCTCTTCCTGTGTGCCCTCTCCATCTCCGAGATCCTGTTCACTGTTGTGGTCACCCCTCGCATGCTGGCAGACATGCTCTCCTCCCACCGCTCCATCACCTTTGTGGCCTGTGCCAACCAGATGTTCTTCTCCTTTACGTTTGGCTTCACCCACTCCTTCCTGCTCATGATCATGGGCTATGACTGCTACGTGGCCATCTGCCACCCCCTGCGCTACAACATGCTCATGAGCCCCCGTGACTGTGCCCGCCTTGTGTCCTGCTGCTGGGCCGGTGGCTCAGTCATGGGGATGATGGTGACACTGATAGTTTTTCATCTCACTTTTTGCAGGTCTAATAAGATTTACCATTTTGCCTGTCATGTCCTTGCCCTCTTGAAGTTGGCCTGTGGGAAGGAGACAGCCTCTGTCACCATGGTTGTGATCATGATTTGTGTCACAGCCCTGCTGGGGTGCTTATTCCTCATCGTCCTCTCCTATGTCTTCATCGTGGCTGCCATCTTGAGGATCCCCTCCACCGAGGGCCGGCACAAGACCTTCTCCACCTGTGTCTCCCACCTCACCATAGTGGTCGTGCACTATGGTTTTGCCTCCCTCATCTACCTCAAGCCCAAGGGCTCTCATTCTATGGACAGTAACACGCTCATGGCCACCACCTACACAGTCTTCACCCCCTTTCTTAGCCCCATCATTTTCAGTCTCAGGAATAAGGAGCTGAAGAATGCCATACAGAGAAGCTTCCGCAGAAAATTCTCTTCTCTAAGCTCCTGATGACCAGTTGGGTGGTGAAGAATCTACACTCCATACTAGCTACTTATTTCTCCCCCATTTGCAATCCTTTTGGCACCACTCTTTCATGACACAGTGTGATAATCTCCATTCCATCATCTGTGGCTTAGAACATATATCTATGGTCAAGTAGGGAGCAACCCATAAATGAGTGTTGGCCCTGATGCCCATGGTCCTTTCTGAATGGACAAGCAAGAAAAGACTTTAGTTTTCTCTTTACCCATCAATATAAAATAAAAAACTGTAACAGAAAATAATTATAAAAATCAACAAACATCAAAAATTTTCTCTATATCAAGCACCATGTCCAGTGTTTTATGACTATCTTTTTGGTTATGACAAATGTAAAAAAAAAGAAAGAAAGAAAGAATAAATGATTTGTCCCCATGGAAATTGTTTACTAATTACAGGGCTATGAGAGAGAAGAAGTAGAATGGAAAATGAAGTGGGGAGAGAAAGTAAGAAAGAAAGAGTGATTTAGAGGAGAAAGAAGGGTGGTAGAGGGAAGGAGAAAGGGAAGAAGCATCAATGCTTAGGTAAGCATGTACACATGTTAAAAGTGTGTTGTTATCTCATGTCTTACAGAAATCCTTTTCCCACAGTTAAATTTCAGTAACACATACATTTCTCATTGCTGTGTTAAAATTGTATCTTTCAGGGGAGTGTGTTTAAAGGGCAGAGGGCTATCTCAAGATGGTACAAAGAGAGAACAGAGGTTACCTACAGGTATCTTCATTATGCAGAAAGGAAATGTTGGTGGAGTTCACATAACATGTGAATAAATAGAGTCCTATGCACCTTTGTATCTGTTTGACTCCCATGCTGATTTTTGGGAATATATGATTGAGGATCCAGGAATTCACATTCCGCTGTGGAATGTAAATTGTTAACTTAAAAGATGAGGTCAATTTTGAGTTGCAAACAAAAGATGTTTTATAAGGATAAACCCACAGCCACCATTCATCTCATTAGCATACAAAAGACACTCTTATCACAGGGTCAGAGGCCAAGGACAACACCAAAACCCCAAATATTTGTGTTTTATAACATAACAAGGAGGCATATGTGAATGTCAGACTATGTGACTAGGTCACCAGGACCACAGGGATAGGGTGGAATTTGACTGAGAAGAGAAGTAAGATGATCCAATTTGACCAGAGATGCTGAACACTTAAAATGCCCAAGAGAAACCAGTATCCAAGATTCAGCTCCAAATCACCCTTGTCTGGGAAGCCCTCCAGCTGCCCTCACCCCAGGGCAGAGTCACTGATTCCCACTTGGGATTTCTCCAGCTCCCACCTGCCCTCTGACCCTTCCTTGGTCCCAAGGTGATGACAGTGTCTGTGTCCAACCTAGTCTCCTCAATGACTGGGAGCTTCTCAGCCCTGAAAATGGGCTGAGATTTCTCTGAGTACAGAAAGCAGGAAGTCTTTTTGTGTGTGGATACTTGGAGGAAATTTAGAGGCAGCAGTCCCTGAAGATCCCTTGTGGCCCCTCCCAGCTTCTCCAGACCCTGAGGACAGATCTTCTAGGCTGGCATCCTGAAGAGACCCTAGGGAGCAGTCAGCAGGAAAGGCTACAGCAGAAATAAGCAGACAGTATCTATTCTAGGAGGTCTGATCCCACCCCGGCCTGTGGGTATCATTGATAGCATCAAGCAGCAGAGATTCTTCTGCCCTTCCCTCCTGACCACTTCATGTAAAAGGCAGGCCAGGCTGAAGGGGACCTGGAGGGAATGGTAGGAAGGAAGAACCCTATGATTGTGGGAAGCATTGCCCAGCCTGAGGATGGAGGTCAGTCCTGGGGAGAAGATCGTTAGGGAAGAGCTCCATCTTCAGAGTCTGCCTGAGGCCTTCTCAGTTTGTCCATCTGAGTCTTCAGCTCTCACCCAACGTAGGTGCCCTTTGCAGTTTGTGGGTCAGTGGTTCTCAGACCCAAGTCTTTAGAGTACTTACATTTCTGGTTAACTCCAGCTGTTTTGTAACAGAGGTATTTCAAGTGTGATGTGGAGACTTCTGGGGGTCCCTGACAACTTTTCTGTGGGTCCATGAGATCCTTAACAATGAGAATGTTTTTCATCATCTACTTCAACTAAATCAAGATGTTTTAGACTGAATGAAGAAGCAGACACTGCCATCAAACTGTCTTCTACAAGGCAGATATTAGGTGTATTTGAAAAAATTGGCAACAAAGCCACTCTTCTCACTCTTAAGTTTTTTTGAAAATGTTACTTGACTAAAAAATTAGCAAAGTGAATCAGCTATATGTATACATATGAAAAAGTGAAAGTGTTAGTTGCTTCGTCATGTCCAACTCTTTGTGACGCCATGGACCATAGCCCGCTAGGCTCCTCTGTCCATGGAATTCTCCAAGGAAGAATACTGGAGTGGTTGGCCATTCTCTTCTCCAAGGGATCTTCTTGACCCAGGTATTGAAACTGGGTCTCTTGCATTGCAGGTGGATTCTTTACGATCTAAGCCATCAAGAAGATCCCTGTATACACACATCCTCTCTTTTTTGGACTTTATAGTATATATTCTTAATCTAGCTATGAAAGTCACCTTCCCACACGGTCAAAAGAGTTTTTTTTTTTTTTAAATCATGAATAAAAGTTGAATATTAGAACAATATTCCTGCCTTCTTTGGAATAGTAATAAATAAATGATTTTTCTTTTATAGCTTATTCATGTAGTGAATCACATGATAGGTTTTCTGATGTTGAACCATCCTTGTCAATAATAGGATAAATCAAAGCTACATGATCATAATATATTATTCTTAGTACCATGAGATTTACTGGGCTATATCCTACTATGAATTTTTAAATATGCATGAGTAGATAAAATGAGCTCGTAATTATCTTCTCTTACAAATATTCTTCCCTGATTTTAGAATCAAGATTGCATTAACCTGATGCAATGAGCTGGGCAATTTCATCTATTTTTCTGTTTGTTGAAGAACATGCGTGTGATACACATCCACTGTTCCTTAAAAGTTTAGAGAGCTTACTTGCAAACCCAATTGGGGAAATGATTTTAGGGAGGAAAGCTTTTTAACTAACTAAAACTTTTAAAACTTTTTAAAAAATATTTATGCATCTGGGACCCCTAATTTTTCTTGTGCCAGTTTTGGAATTTTACATTCTTTTAAGAGTTCATTCATCTAGAGTTTCATATTTGTTGACATACTGTTTTACTATTTTTATTAATTTCCAATACTCATTGCATTTATATTTACTTCCCAATTTTAATTTCATGTTTTGTTGTTGGTATCTTCTCTTTCTGTCTATCTTATTAATCTTTTCCAATAACCTAATTTGACTTTATTTAAGCACTATTTTTTCCTGGATAAAATTTCTTAATAAAATATCTAAATTTGTATATTTAACTCCAATATTATTTTAGGCTAAAATTTTGACATTTGATGCTTAAACTACTCAATTAGAAATATTTCTGAATTTATTTTATGCTTTACTTTTGAAGGAAAAAATTATAATGAGAACCCAGTGGCCAAACTATGTCTTAAGCACTTGATACACATAAGCTTTTAATCTCAGTTTATCTTTATCACAAGACTGAATAGGAAGAAGTATTATGATTCACCCATTTTACTGATGAAGATGGTGATACCCAGATAAATTAAGGTCATTTTAAAATAGTATACAACTCTTAAATTTCCATTTGATCTACATCAGAGCCTATGCTTTTACCATTGTTGATTCTATTTCTGATTTCCCCAGATGCAGCATCCTTGTCTGGTCAGAACTACAGCACAGTGTCTGAATTCATCCTCATCGGCTTCTCCAACTTCCCTCAGCAGCTCCTGCCCTCCTTCTTCCTGCTGTACCTGCTGATGTACCTGTTCACGCTGCTGGGGAACCTGCTCATCATGGGCACCATCTGGAGGGAGCACAGCCTCCACACCCCCATGTACCTCTTCCTGTGTGCCCTCTCCATCTCCGAGATCCTGTTCACTGTTGCGGTCACCCCTCGCATGCTAGTGGACATGCTGTCCACCCACCGCTCCATCACCTTTGTGGCCTGTGCCAGCCAGATGTTCTTCTCCTTTACATTTGGCTTCACCCACTCCTTCCTGCTCATGATCATGGGCTATGACCGCTACATGGCCATCTGCCACCCCCTGCGCTACAACGTGCTCATGAGCCCCCGTGACTGTGCCCGCCTTGTGTCCTGCTGCTGGGCCGGTGGCTCAGTCATGGGGATGATGGTGACACTGATAGTTTTTCACCTCACCTTTTGTGGGTCTAAGGAGATACACCATTTTGTCTGCCATGTGCTTTCCCTCTTGAAGTTGGCCTGTGGGAAGGAGACAGCCTCTGTCACCATGGGTGTGATCCTGGTCTGTGTCACGGCCCTGCTTGGCTGCTTATTCCTCATCATCCTCTCCTATGTCTTCATCGTGGCTGCCATCTTGAGGATCCCCTCTGCCGAGGGCCGGCACAAGACCTTCTCCACCTGTGTCTCCCACCTCACCATAGTGGTCGTGCACTACGGTTTTGCCTCCCTCATCTACCTCAAGCCCAAAGGCTCTCATTCTATGGACAGTAACACGCTCATGGCCACCACCTATACGGTCTTCACCCCCTTTCTTAGCCCCATCATTTTTAGCCTCAGAAATAAGGAGCTGAAGAACGCCATACAGAGAAGCTTCCATAGAACTTTCCACCCCCTAAGCTCCTGATGGCCAGTTTGGTGGTATGGAAGGTGACAAATGGTTTGGGTTTAATAATTTCTATCTCTATATAACTCCTGCAGTGATTCAGGTCTGTAAAATACCCACACTCCATAGGATTTTGATGCACTCTAGCAATTAGTTTTTCTCCAAGTTTCCCCTTCCTGCCATAGACTCTATCATCACAATCTCTTTTTTTTTTTTTAACTGGAGTATAATGGCTTTAAAATGTTGTATTCATTTATGCTCTATAACAAAGAGAATCAACTGTATATATACATATATTCCCTCCTTTTGAACCTCTGTCCCTCCCACTCCACATCCTACCCCTCTGGGTTATCATAGAGCACCCAGCTGAGGTCCCTATGCTATAACAGCAGGTTCCCACTAGTCAACTATTTTACACATGACAGTGTATATATGTCAATCCTAATCTCCCAGTTCATCCCAATCTCCCCTCCCCTCAACTTTGCCCACGTCAGTTCTCTATGTCTGTGTCTCTATTCCTGCCCTGAAAATAGGTTAATCTGTACCATTTTTTTAAATTCCTAATTTATATGTTAATATATGATCTTTGTTTTTCTCTTTCTGACTTACTCCAGTCTGTGCCTGAAAAAGGAATGAATATATGTACATGTATAACTGAATCAACATGCTGTACACTTGAAACTAATGCAACACTGTAAATCAACTATATGCCAATAAAAAATTTTTAGAGATAAAAGACAGACTCAAGTTTCATCCTCAGTTCAACGGACTCACTTTTGTTCCTTTTTATGGCTGAGTAATATTCCATTGTAGATAGGCACCACGTCTTCTTTATCCATTCATCTGTTAATGGATATCTAGGTTGCTTCCATGTCCTGACTACTGTAAATTGTGTTGCAGTGAATATTGGGGTGCACATATCTTTGTGCCCAGTGAGATGAACTCCATCCCTTTATTTTTGCCTGAGAATGTATTATTTATCTATAGGCAGGTGAAGAGCACCACATGGATGTGTCAGGGCCCTGAT